GGTCATCTCCGCCTTCCCTGCCGCCACCCGCCGCACAGTCAACCGGCCGCATCCGTCGGTCATGGCCGTCGTTGCAGCTGAGCGAGCTGCGTATGTGGGTGATGTCTCCGCCGCCGTGCCACCGGCACTGGAGAACATCTCGCATGGGCAGCTCCAGGTGCTCTCTGTGGCGCTCCCCGACCACCAGTCCCTTTTGACGGATCCTGACAGGCCGTCTTCTTACGTCTGCACGCCACCACCCCTCATGGAGGGGCATGGCGTGCACAAGCAGTTCCAGGGCCGCCTCCATGTCGTGCCCAAGCACTCAGGTTCGCTTGTTGCGACCAAAACCTGCATTACTGAACATACGTTTTTAAGTTCACTGCAACATGAATTAGTTTACAATTTGTAGATTGGTTCTCTCCTGGGGCGGTGCACAGGCTGGAAAGGCAGGTTGTTCCACACTTCTTCACAGGGAAATCTCCGGTGCACACTCCGGAGAAGTTCATAATGTTAAGGAATAAAATTATTGCCAAATATTTGGAGAACCCAGGCAAGAGGCTTGCGTTTGCCGAGTGCCAGGGGTTTGTGTTAACACAGGTGAACTATATGATTTGAGTAGGATCGTTCGGTTCTTGGACACATGGGGAATCATCAATCACCTCGTGGTTGGGTTGGTGCACCGGGGTCTGAGGGTGGCAGCATCACTTCTAATAGAGGAACCAGCAGGGGAGTTGCAACTGTTGACTGCACCGCTGAAATCCATTGATGGTTTAGTTTTGTTTGATCGGCCTAAATGTAGTCTCCAAGCAGACGACATTTCTTCACTGGCTTCATCTTCATCGAATTCGGAGGTGGTGGATTTTGATGTCGGTGCTGAGTTTACTGAATTGGAAGGGAAGATTAGAGATTGTCTATCAGAGAGCTATTGCAGTTACTGCTCACAGTCTTTGCACAGTTTGCATTACCAGTCGCAGAAAGAGGTGCCCATCTTCATATTTAAATATACATATACATATCATATTTTCAATTTTTTTCATATGTAGGAAAACTTGTTCTGTATCTAGGATTGTTATTAACCCTATGAATTTCACATGTGCTCAAAAGGCGTATTTTCAAAACATTGCGAGACACATCACAGTAAGCTAAATAGTCTTGTTGCAGAGTTTAGTATACTGCCGAATTTTGGTTGGGGTTCAGAAAGACTGCAGTTTGTTATTTATTTTAAACCCCAATTTATCTTGATTCATGATTTTCTGACCCAGCAGATACTGGTGCCCATGTGGTTGTCACAAATCTTGCTTATGCATCATAATGTTGGAAGCCCATAGTAATATCTCCACCATTTTATATGTGAACCAAAAACATTCAGAACACATCCTTATAGTGTCATTTATGTGTGATGTGAAAAGACCTGCGTCTAGGTGCAATGTAACTTAGCGTTAGTTAACTTTTGATATGTGGTGGCTTGGGCCAGATATGTTCTGTTTCGAATTTCAGCTCGTCCTGTTTCATTAATGATGTATAAACGAACTACGATACCGTTTTCTTCTTTGACGTGATGAACATGGGGAGTTTGCAAGGCTGTATCATTCTTTCAATTTAATTAGCCAGTCTGCTTCTTGTTTTTCTTTTCTCTTCTCTGGGTAAAAAACTAGTGGTGAAAAGCTTGTTGTTTAACTGATTGAGCAGGCAGATATTGCTCTTTGCTCTGATTGCTTCCATGATGCAAGATATGCTATCGGGCATTCAAGCTTAGATTTTCAGAGAGTCGATGGGGATAAAGATGGATCAGAAAATGAGGGGGATAACTGGACTGATCCAGAAACATTATTGTTATTAGAGGGCATAGAAAAGCACAAAGACAACTGGAATAGCATTGCAGACCATGTTGGAACAAAGTCAAAGGCACAGTGTATTTACCATTTTATTCGTCTTCCAGTGGAGGATAGTTTGTTAGAGAACATTGAGGTACCAGATGCATCCATGCCATTTAGACCGCAAAGCAATGGATAGTTTGGATGGTCCAGAAACTGGAATTGGTTTTGGGTCCCAGTTCGGTGGGCTTTGGTGGAGTACTGTGAAGGCCCCTCATGGCCTCATCTAATACCGAGCTCTTCTGCTCTGACACAAATGTAATCGGAAACAATCTCTTAGCTCACAGCTCGAGACCATAGACGTCACTCTTTCACCTCTACAGCCGGTGAACCTCAGGCGAACCTCATTAGCATGTGGCTGCTGACAAGCCTGACACAACTGCCAACGTCGGCAAGTTCCCGGCTCAACCGCTGACGCTAGCTAGTCTTTGTGAACTCTTCCGCCAGCGAGCCCTTGCTTCCTATCTTCTTGCAGCTGCTGACCTTGTTTTAATCCGGCCAACTTCCTCAACTCCATCTGCTAAAGTCTAGACCGTCGCTGGCAAATACTGCTGACCACTATCAAGCTCATGAGACCTTGGTGGCCACCTGCATCGGTCTCTTCGACCACTCTCACTACAGGCAGGCGCGCGCTCGTCAAGATATCACGCCGTTCGTCTTGTTGGGTGAATATTGTCGTTCTTGACTTGGTTAGCCCGCATGTTGGCAGAACTTTCTCCTCCCCTGCATGGGAAATGACCTCGCCAAAGATTGGCGAGGTCACATCGAGGCATGAAGCAGTGTTGTCTCTATGGACAAGACGAGGATTGAGTGATGTCAAATCTGGAGAATAAGATGAAGTTTCTTGTTTTCATGCAATGCGAAATCTAGGCAATCAAGCATGATTTGGAGTTGCGATGTGGTATCGTTT